AATATGTAGTAAAGATATTATTTGTTCACTCGAAACTCATTACTCTCTAGAAGAATTACTTTCAATAGATGGTTTTACACCAGTTCACCTTACTAGACATTATAATCGTTCATGAGGAATCTCTAAACCAGATTTACTACCAGGTGTAACTTGAAACGTTTAGAACATATAATATAAATGATAACATATGGCTGCAATTGTGCAGAAACGTTTTTGGAGTGAAAGATGGTATAGTTTGTTACTTGACTCAAGCTAGCGAACAATTAGGAGGTATAACTAAAAACCACAATTTCACATAAGACAATCACGCTTTTTTCGAGCTAGCGAACAGTGACAGAGACCTAACGAACAATAGACCTTTTTCATATTACCGACTTTTGACCCCCGAGTCTACAATTAAAAAACTGAAATTGACAAAATGAGATTAGGGGGGGGGGGGGGGGGGGTAGGCCAATTTAAGTTAATTTTGGACCCATTTATAGAGATTGTGACAGGGAACGACTATGGGTGTTGAAGAGGAGATATTGGCGATTCGTTTAGGTATATCTCCAGAGTGGTTTATGTTCGAAAATCTGAAGTTACGGTTAAAAAAACGGAAATTGACAAAATGACAAAATGAGATTAGGGGGGTAGACCAATTTAAGTTAATTTTGGACCCATTTATAGAGATTGTGACGGGCAACGACTATATATGTGTTGTAGAGGAGACATTGGCGCAACGTTTAGGAAAATCTCCAGTGTGGGTTATGTTTGAAAATCTGAAGTTACGGTTAAGAAACTGAAATTGTGAAATTGACAAAATGAGTATAAGGGGGTAGAACAATTTAAGTTAATTTTGGACCTATTTATAGAGATTGTGACGGGCAACGACTATATAGGTGTTGTACAGGAGACATTGGCGCATCGTTAAGGAAAATCTCCAGACTGGTTTATGTTCGAAAATCTGAATTTACGGTAAAAAAACTGAAATTGTGAAATTGACAAAATGAAATTATGTAGGCCAATTTAAGTTTATTTTGGACCAACTTAAAGAGATTGTGACGGGCAACGACTATAAAGATGTTGTAGAGGAGACATTGGCGCATCGTTTAGGAAAACCACCAGAGTGGTTTATGTTCGAAAATCTGAATTTACGGTAAAAAAACTGAAATTGTGAAATTGACAAAATGAAATTATGTAGGCCAATTTAAGTTTACTTTGGACCAATTTAAAGAGATTGTGACAGGCAACGACTATAAAGATGTTGTATAGGAGACATTGGCGCATCGTTTAGGAAAATCTTCAGAGTGGTTTATGTTCGAAAATCTGAAGTTACGGTTAAAAAACCGAAATTGTGAAATTGCCAAAATGATATTAAGAGGGAAGGCCAATTTAAGTTAATTTTGGACCTATTTATAGAGATTGTGACGGGCAACGACTATATATGTGTTGTACAAGAGACATTGGCGCATCGTTAAGGAAAATCTCCAGACTGGTTTATGTTCGAAAATCTGAAGTTACGGTAAAAAAACTGAAATTGTGAAATTGACAAAATGAAATAACTTAGGCCAACTTCAATTTATTTTGGACCAATTTAAAGAGATTATGACGGGCAACGACTATAAAGATGTTGTAGAGGAGACATTGGCGCATCGATTAGAAAAACCATCAGAGTGGTTTATGTTCGAAAATCTGAAGTTGCGGTAAAAAAAACTAAAATAATGAAATTGACAAAATGAAATTAGTGGGGTAGGCCAATTTAAGTTCATTTTGGACCAATTTAAAGAGATTGTGACGGTCAATGACTATATAGGTGTTGTAGAGGAGACATTGGCGCATCGTTTAGGAAAACCACCAGAGTGGTTTATGTTCGAAAATCTGAATTACGGTTAAAAAATCCGAAATTGTGAAATTGACAAAATGAAATTAGGGGGGTAGGCCAATTTAAGTTTATTTTGGACCAATTTAAAGAGATTGTGACGGTCAAGGACTATATAGGTGTTGTAGAGGAGACATTGGCGCATCGTTTAGGAAAACCACCAGAATGGTTTATGTACGAAAATCTGAATTACGGTTAAAAAAACCGAAATTGTGAAATTGACAAAATGAGATTAAGGGGGTAGGCAATTTTAAGTTAATTTTGGACCAATTTAAAGAGATTGTGACGGGCAACGACTATATAGATGTTGTAGAGGAGACATTGTCGCATCGTTTAGGAAAATCTTCAGAGTGGTTTATGTTCGAAAATCTGAAGTTACGGTTTAAAAATCCGAAATTGTGAAATTTCCAAAATGATATTTAGGGGGTAGGCCAATTTAAGTTAATTTTGGACCCATTTATAGAGATTGTGACGGGCAACGACTGTATAGGTGGTATAGGGGAGACATTGGCGTATTGTTTAAGAAAATCTCCAGAGTTGTTTATGTTCGAAAATCTGAAGTTACGGTTAAAAAACTGAAATTGTGAAATTGACAAAATGAAATTAGGATGGTAAACCAATTTAAGTTCATTTTGAACCCATTTATAAAGATTGTGACGTTTTTTTCAATTTCAGTTTTTTAAACCTTGCTTCAGATTTTTAAACATGGAGTTTTTCTTATTAGATGCGATAATGTCTCCTCTACGTTACCTTTACAGTCGTTGCCTGTCACAATCTTTATGAATTGATCAAAATCTTTATACATAAAATATGGTATCCCATTTGTTTTATTTTGTTTTATTCGTTTTTGTTTAATATTTTAAATATTCTCATAATTATCCGCTAGGTCTCTGTAATTTTTCGCTAGCTCGAAAAAAAACGTGTCAATGATTGTCTTATGTGAAATTGTGTTTTTTAGTTATACCTCCTAATTGTTCGCTGGCTAATTGTTCGCTAGCTTGAGTCAAGTTAGTTTGTTACATCTTTAATCCTCCGGAAAATTCTGCAGTTACAAAATCCCTACAAGAAGATATGTTTTACCTTATAGAGTAAGATATTTCCAAATACTCAGATACCTGACAAATTTTATTAGCAGGGGTTCTAACTGCTAGAAATGAAACCCAGATCTTAGACTTTAAAAACAATGATGAGTCACTTGATAATATACCAGGTTTTTTTCAACACGTGGTAAAAGTTTAAATGAGATTTGTTTTCAATCTGGATTGAGAATATTAAACGGTCGTATCTTAGGCGACTGCACATAATAAAAGGTAGCAGTGTTGTTGACTATATATTTTATATCCACTGAGAATTTAATGCAAAATATCTTATTTTTTATAGAGCATACATTTTTGGGAGCGCTATCGGATCGCTGCCAAATTTCAGTAATGTAAAAGATAGATTGTAACATTAGGATTCCAGTACATGATAAGACACAAATCCCCACCAATTTATATATAGAATGAATCTTCACCTCAAGTATTTCAGACTGCCTTATCATCAAATAAGATACATAACAAAATAAAAGTACTTTAATAATGGTAATATTTATGATAATATTCATATTTTGGTTTTTTATTTAAATTCCATCTTAATAGATGCAGCTTACATCTCCCTTTAACTAAACCGTCCCAAAAAGAAAAGCCCAAAACATTTAGATAATACAAGACAACCTAAAAGGTTAAGATATATGATAACTTACACACGTACTTAACTCCAATTGTTAGTACATTTTATTTATCACTGTTCAAATTATACAGAAAAATCTAGAACGCAGAATTGTTCGATGATGGAAAAGAGAAACGCCCTTTTCAAAATTTATGAAATAATGAAAGGTCATAAACCTAAAGTAAAATTTGTACTAAATATATTTGACCACACAGTGAAACCAAGTCCAACTTATGGAAGTGAAATTTAGGACGCTTTAGATTCAATAATTTAACTGACAAAGGAGATTGTTAATTTGAAAAATTATGCAAAGAACTGAAAACTGAATCAGATTATTCCAAAATCTGTAAATTTTCACTGGGACTGGGAAAAGTAAAAGGAAGCACACATAATTATGGCAGTGATAGGTGAGCTAGGGAGATACCCATTATTCATTGAAGTTATAGTTTTCATACTTATCACGTTTAACAAATACAGAGGACAAATTATTATCTAAAGCCATCCATGTATCCAAATCCTTATCGAACCATACAAGAAGTGAGAAATGTTGATATAATTCTACGAGATCATTAGCAAAATATCTAGACATTAGATTTATTACAAATTTTAATATGGACTCCAGTTTGAAAAGAATTTTTTTGAACAGATTAAAACTTAAGTATAATCAGTTGTGGTATTTATCTTTTAACGATGACAGAATAAAACATGTAATTTGGAAAAAAAAACTCAGAACATGTAGACTTTTTTATGCAATATAATATCAAATTAATAACTTTCTTTTTTTTTTTATTTTTGATGATATGCCTTGGAACTTTGAACAGTGAGATGGTTTTCGTAATTTATTAAAATTAGGATCATTACATTCAAATGAAAAGTGATATTCGTTTTCTAAAATATTTTAAAGCAAATGCCAAAAATATAAATTTGCTTTTGATCTTTGAATCTAGTAAATAAAAGTATCTTCCCTTCTTCCCTTCTTCCCTTCTTACTTTGCAATACATGAAACTCGAACAATTGATAATATTTCGCTGCTCTTCGGTGGCTACATTAACGCTAGCGGGCGAGTCGATCACTGATAAGCACTGAATCATGCGGGTTACAACATCTATAAAAAATACAAAAATATTATAATCCCCAATTCGATAAAAAAAAATATTGTGGTCAAGCAGATGACAAAAAAAAATATTCTGAATCCAGATTTTCCCCATACCTTAAAATGTTAAGTTTTGCGCGAAAAAAAATTCTGACTCAGACTAAAACCATACCCTCCTAGAAGTTAAATGGTTGCTCCCTAAATAAAGAGTAAAATTAATCATGTAATGTATTATCTTTACGCCTTTCTGCCAAGGAGAAAAAAATTCAAACATATTCTTGAGTGGACGAAGTAGAAGGTCACTGTCATACTGTATATAATAAAACAGGTTTTCTTTTGTAGATGAAACTTTTGTTGTTGGTTCTCTTGTGTGTAACGGGTTTAAAAACTGAAGATGTCAAGCATAAAAGGACTACAACTGGTACTCATATAACAAATGGTATCAATGTAGGAAAAGGACTAGCAGCCGCCTTAGCTGATGATAATTTGGACATGCCAAAGAAACTAGCTGACATGGCCAAAAAAATTGCACCTTTTTTAGGGGTATTAGGTCCTTTTGTTTCTTTTGTAGTTGGTTTTATTCCAAAGGGACCAACTAAGGAATTTTTGGCTATTCAGCAACTTCATAAAGATATGGATACTCGGTTTGATCAAATCAATGGAAAGTTTCATGATGTATCTAAACTTATACAGTGGAATACAGTCAGGCTGCAGTTTTCAAGTGTTGAGCAAACTATAAATAATGCTTATCAGAGGTATACAAATATGTATAAAGCAACGACCAGTAGAACTATCGCAAGTGAAATGCATGTTTTTAAAAATTATAGGTCTAAGTTCGGTGATAGTGCACTGACACTTTATAATGGGATCATGGGTACCAATACTGTGTTTGGGGATGAACTTTTACCGGCCTCAATGAAATTTACAGATTACAATAGAAAGCAGTGTGCACGATTCATGGAAGGTCTACTTAGACTACTGTTACGGGCAGTAGAAATGGATTTGGCTTACTTACAGTTAGATACAAAAACTGCAGCAAGCGTTCACTCCCATACAACGGAATGGAAAAGAAGATTAGATTCAGTTCGAGGTAAAATGTTACACGCGGACGCCACTATAGTTTCTAAATATCATGAACAGTCAGGTAAAGATATTGACAGATATTCTACGGACCATCCAGAATCTCATATGAACAATCACGATTGGGCTAATAATATGTACCACTCGCTTGCGACAAAATATCATTGGCGCGACTGGATGGTTATTGCGTATGATGATGTTTCAGGAGATGACAAGCACTATCAAAGAGAGTGTGGTGGATATCTCAAATTTAGAAGCAATGGTAGGAACATTGTCGTTGCAAGCATTGAGAAGACGCACTCGCACGCCAGTTCGACTGAAGCCAAGTCCATTATTAACAGCGTTCATGATAACGATGCTGTCCATGTACATAGACCAAAAGATCACGTGGTACATCGATTTGTAGATGCTCGTCATGCATTCGACACATTTAACTCTAAAGCTAAAAGTGGATGTTCAACGTATGCAGCAGCAGGTGTGATAGACAATAAAGCCCAACCCTCTTACAAAGCAGCATCCAATCGATTATATCTGAAACATGCCTATTATCACTATATTCATGTGTTTGGTTAAAGTTGTTATTCAAATAAAACGACATTGACAGTCATTGTTATAAAACTTTTGTTATGTATTTAAAGATGTATAGTATAATGAAATCTTATGACAATAAGGTTTTAGTAATCACTCTGAAAATCGATATAATATATATTTATACTTCCAAGATTCACTGGTGTTAAACTGATAATCGTAACTGGAATTACGACGATCCCAATATGGCGACGGCAGAAATAGGTAAAATCTTTTCAGTCATTTTTCTCAAATGTAGCCCGTTGTTGTCAAGAGTTACTCAGCTGCAAGGTTTTTCTATACCATAACATCATATTTGAATCGTAACGGTGCACTATAATTGTCTAAGAGCTTAGAAAACTGCCGTCGAAAAATTCGGGATGATAATCGTAACTCGCAAAATTTTTTCTTGTTTGATAATCGTAATTTCTTTATGGGATAATAGTAACTGAAAAATAATAAATGTGTCTTCCAGCTTGTCAATGGTATTTTGTGTGTTAAAACGGCAATGTCCAGTTAAACGATGACATTAACGCGCAAAATAAAAAATAATGAAGCAACTTACAGGTTAATATTAAGGACAAATTTACTTACATGTATATAAATCTCGATTTATAACTGACAACAATATGCATAACCTTTTAATATATACATGTACCTGTTAAAGATATGGAAAATGAAGCAGCTGTCGAGTCAGTTATTGTGGTAAATAGAGAATTTAAATTCATTCAAAGTTTCAATGTTGTTTTCGCGTTTAGGGGTTTTTTTTGGAAGTGGGGAAGGGGGGTATTACCATTATCCCATATCCCAAAAGTGCAATCCTTTCAAATGAAAGTCCCGTATACCACATTTCAATATGCCATATATTTTGCCTCAAATATTGCATATATCCAATCGACTTTTAAATCAATAAAAAGGGCAAGTTAACCTCCCCTATCTCAATATTTCCTATACCACGGGGGTGGCTGTGGGTTACTTCCTATATAAATATATAAGTTATAACATGGATCAGATTTTTGGTCTTCGGCAATATATGAAAGGGGATATTTTTTTTTTAATTTCAGCAGCACGCCAGAAGTGACAACACCCCTTCCCCCGTGCCTTATACAGACCTCATTTATCATAAGATCGCTGTCAGTTTTGAGTTCCCTGTTGTTTATATTCGGGGATGGGTCCACAAATTATGTAAAAGGGAAATGGGGGGGGGGGGGGTGCTATAAATTGAACGTTTATACTAAATTTCTGCGAGAAATGAACAAAAATTTTCCATCAGTTACTTAACTGCATTATTGGATTTAACAGTTGATACTTTGATTGGTGGATATGAGTTTTCATTTTGCCCTTTTCCTTATATTTCAATAGAAATACATATAGTTTAATTTTGGAGTGAAATGCATCCCGGTTAAAATAGCCGTTCATATTTTTCAAGTGAATTCACTTTTGTTCTGTTTTACACTGATATTTTATATGATTTTAAAAGTAAAATTCAAATATTTTGATTAAATACCCATGTATTTTAGGACGTCTCTTTAAACAGGGTGGATGGTAAAGGATCTAGAATAGTTACCAGTTTATTGTTACTATTGTTTATTGTTACTTGTGTTTATTGTTCCTGGTGTTTATTGTTCCTTGTGTTTATTGTTACTTGTGTTTATTGTTACTTGTGTTTATTGTTTTTATTGGCCTTAACCAAATGGCACGTATAGTCTTGTGAAGCATTTGAAGGACTGAAAAAAAAAACACAAATATATATTAATTACATATATGTGTATTGGTCCTCAGAAGGCATAATATGTAGATCATCACGGTCGAAACTGGTTTAATTACAAAGACTTTAATAGATAATCAAACAAATATTTTGTGCTTCAGAAAAATGCATGACAATTATGAAAGGCTAATATTTGTTTTCATTTGATAGAAAAGTACTAAGTATATGGTAATTATGCAAGTACAAAAATGTTCTTTGTTACCTTCAATATTTTTTCTCTACTATAACTTCCATGCATATGTATGCAGAATATTTTTCATATACCAAGTATTTACGATTTCTTGAATCAGTTTGTTTCTGATATGGCGGAATATGCGCTATGATTTCTTAAAGTTGCAGTCATTCTTTGAATAAATATAGCTTGTAAGGTAATTTAAGGCCACATCAATTTGATTTTTCTTGATGTTCGGGCTTTTGGCCAAACTATTAAAGAACACAAATCCATGTTTGTCAATGAACTCCATGTCACCATGTGCTTAACTCCATAACACACAAAGCATTCCAACTTTTCTCTACCGTCTTATATTATCATTAAACGTTTTAAGGATGTCATATTATTAGAATGCCTAACTAAATTGGTGTTGTTAAAATTTATAGTTATGTTCTGAGATATCGAAATGTCAGTGACGGTCATGAAGTAGCTAAGCATTTTTATAGTATTTATGGGCTATACAACTTTTTACACATTCAAAAAGGTGTGACATTTGTTTTTTCAAGTCCGTTTTTAAATAGAATACCAAACAATATTTCTTTTTAACTCTAAACATGAAGAGATCATGATGACATTTTTTAAAAGTTTCTCCCATATTTTGTGACGGTCCTAGTTCCTGGAGCTTTCAGTATTTTAACACAGTTCGTGTTTCCCCATTTACAAATTTATTGAAGCTGGTCCCCCTTCCAATTTTATGATATATACTAGTATGTAGCTGTTTACATTAGAACTGTTAATAATATATGCACAAAAAGAAATGTCAAAAGATGTGGGAACGTTTTCGTGAGTAATTCATCACCATATTTTCATCATATGCTATTAGATAGACGTTTTTCGTGTCAATACCAATCAAACACTATCCAGTTACGATTATCTTCTTATTTATTAATACCGAAATTATGATTATCATTTTTGCGAGTTACGATTATCATCCCGAATTTTTCGACGGCAATTTTCTAAGCGCTTAGACAATTATAGTGCACCGATACGATTCAAAAATGATGTAATAGTATAGAAAAACCTTGCAGCTGAGTAAGGGAGCTACCATTTGATTTTTATGGGGGGGGGGGGGGGGGGGGGGGCTAGGATGAAAAATGTTGTCCTGCCTATTTATTTTCCCCTCTATTCGGTCCTGCCTTTTTATTTTTCACTCTATTCGGTCCTGCCTTTTTTTTTTAGTTTATCCTGACTTTTTTTTTGCATAAATTGTCATCCTGCCTTTATTTTTTTTGCAAATAATCTCATCCTGCCTTTTTTTTTACTAAAAAATCCTGTCCTGCCTATTTTTTTCAAATTTCATCCTAGCTAGATGTGATTGTGATAGCTAGATTGAGAACATGTGCTTTGTTTTAAAAAAAATATATTGCTTGGACAAATATAGACGTCCGATCTCTACTTGTCGTCAGTACCTGAAATCAGTCCAATCTGACGCCGAGGGTAAGTATGATTCCACATTTGTGGCCGATTCTATGTCCCTCAGCTAGTATAATGTAATTCCTTTTTTATACCCCCGTGCACGGGACGTATAATGGTACACCGTTGTCCGTCCGTCCGTCCGTCCGTCTGTTCGTTCGTCCGTCCGTCCGTCCGTTCGTCTGACCGTCGCCAACATGTCGGACAATAACTCAAAAACGCTTGAACCAATTCGCATGAAACTTTGATGAATTGTTTAAATATGTATCTATTGACGTGAGCTCCCTTTCGTTTTTTATAAATTTTAGATTTTAAGTTTCCGAGTTTTGGTTTTATTGATTAATAAAAGGGGATTTTCCATTTTTGGACAATAACTCAAAAATGCTTTCTGCAGTTTTCGTGAAACTTTGGTGAACTGTTTATATCTATTGAAGTAAGCTCCCTTTCGATTTTTATAAATTTTAAATTTTACGTTTTTTTGGTTTTATGTGATTTTATTCATAAAAAAGGGGGGATTTTCCAGTTTTCTGACAATGCTTTGAGCAGTTATCATGAAACTTTGGTGACTGCTTTATATCTATTAAGATAACCTCCCTTTCGTTTTTCATGAATTTCTGATATGACATTGAGAAGTTATTAAACTTTATTCTTTAAAAAAGCGACAGGCGTATCATGCGCTCATGTCGCAGCTGTTTATTAGTTTCTCAAATTGAAGTCCCCTTCTATACTTTCTAAAATAATGTACCCATTCACAGCTACAAGAGTGAAGTAAAACGTATTGCTCTAAAACAGATATACAGGGGCAAGAAAGCGATGGAAAGGTTAGGAAAATAATCTATCGCGGTTTCTCTTTGTACCAACATTTCGTTCCAGAAGAAAATCTGTGTGTTTGAGCTCTTGATTTTTCTATTTGATAAGGGACTTTTCGTTTGACATTTTCCTTGGGTTCGGTATTTTTGTTAATTTACTGTTCATCCCTGCTGAACCTTTTGAACAATAAACTCGGACCCTTCATTTAAATTATGGTTATAAAACATCATTACGAATATTTTACTACACTTAGCTTAACTATTTAACTTACCCTTACAAAAAAGTAAAATAACAATAATACCGAACTTCGTCGAGGAAAATTCTTAATGGAATGTCCCTAACCAAATGACAAAATCAAAGCCTCAAACACATCAAACAAATGGACACCAACTGTCATATTCCTGACTTGGTACAAGCATTTTCTTATGTAGAAATTGGTGGATTTAAACTGGTTTTATAGCTAACTAAAACGCTCACTTGTATGACAGGCGCATACAATTCGATTATATTGACAACGATGTGTGAACAAAACAAACAGATATAATAGGTAAAAATGTCAAAAATACGGGTGTAGCAGTCAACATTGTGTTATAATCTAAATCACTATAAAAACAAACAAATATATCAACAAAGCTGTTCGCTCAGCTAAGAATCTCAAGACCGTCGAAATATCGCCAAACAGTGACTTACCGCAAATATCGAGACATCAATCTAGACGATATCAAAAATGATTTTGTTGAATCGATTCCACCTGTTGTAAATGCAACAGAACCTGTCGATAGCTTGGTTAGTCTTTACAATACGAATCTGATATCGGTTATTGACAAACATGCACCGA